GCAGTGGGGAAAAACAAGAGATCTCAGTTTTTGGTTAATTTATTTGAGTTGTGATATGGGTTGGAAAGTGTTTGTAAACGCACCTCTTCTGGCCCATTTTCATCTAAGTGTCCAGGCGTAAATTTACCTGATGAGTCGCCCAAGGGCTTGAAAAGAAAGCTATGGAATTGTGAGCTGTATAATTATAATGCATGTCATTTACAAAGTGCTTTTCTAAAAATGTCAAATTGTGACATTTGTTGTTTTTCCTTTGTGCCTTTCATAATATATGTATTATTATATATTATAAATAATTATATAATTTATATATATATATCTTTAGCTATAATTTAAAAAAACTCATATTCATGTTTGTGTGAACTAAAATGCATCGATTCAGATACTCATCAACCTCCATTGCCTGTCCAATCTTTTCCTTCACATCCACTTAGCTAAGCTTCCTTTATAGCCTGCTAAAAAAATAGTAATTAAAATAATACAGTAACTATTTATAGACCTGAGAGGGAAACAAGAATTTGACATTTATAATAGATCTATAAACAAACTGTATGGACTTTAAATTATAAATTTAACTAGCAAAATTGATCATGAACTAATGATTTTTAAATGATTTGATGTTTAGAGGCCTATTGGACTCTATATAAAAAATATATAAAAATCAGCATTCAGTTTATTAATTGACTAGAGTCTAGCTCTTTCTTTTTTAATAGCCCTAAATTGTAATACAACTTTTCACTTTCAAATGTAATACCAAAAAAAAAAATGTTTTAAAAAGGTAAATTTGTACCTTTTTCATATTTATAGCTTTTATCTATCAATTTAAAATAATTTGTATTTTACTGTAGATGAAATCATATAATTCATGTCAGATATTGTGACAATAAAGACTCTGGACATCATCAAGCGTCTCTCTCTGTTTATGTTGAGACAAGAACAGCCAAAACTTCATTTGAAAAAAAAACAAACCCAACCTGTTTAACTTTCATTTTCTAGTTCAACAACACAAATCTTGAGGTTTGAGATAGATTTCTAGATCTAATTTAATGACAACATCTGAACAAGAGGCTTTCTAAATCTAGTCTCAACCCCAACGTGATTGAAGGCTCTTACAATACTCTTTCTAGGAATTAAACCTGAACTCTAGATCAATAAAACGTTAACATGACCGTCTTGATAAGGAAGGCTGTTCCAGAAAATGTGAAGACCAAAAAAGCTAAGTTTTCCCCATTCTACTTCCTTACTTCGTCTTCAGTTCACTCCCACAACATTGAAATAGAAGCATTTTATAAGCAAACTGATAGAATCTAAAGGTGAACGTATTTATAAGTCTATCAGAACAACTAGATCTACAGATCTCTATTTTCTGAATCTCCAGAGATAACTAGATCTAGATCTCTAGCTTTATCTAAAAAAATCAAGAATCTAAATCTAGAACCATCAGCTCCGCAGTAGCCTAGCGGAAGACCTGGAAAGAAAAGTTTGTCAAAGCTACTGACACTGTCGGTCCGACAGTTTTGGCTTTGCCGCTCGAAATATCTGCGTGAAGTGAAAAAAGCCGGAATCTAAACAACAATATTCATTTCAATATACACATACAATCAATAAAAGTATACACGAAGAAAGACTGATAGTAAGATAATACATACAGTTTAAGAACAACACCTGAGAAGTCCAAGAACAGCTTCCTAACTCCCCATTGATAAACAGTGCCTCCACCACCTGTCAATGTTGTCATCGGAGTTTCCAGTTACTTCAAAAACTGGATTGAGTAATCGCCGGAATAATTGTTTCTCTTTTCAAATTATTTCTTGGAAACAATAAGCAAGGAGCATAAATCCGAATTTAAATTATCAATGTTTTTTCTCTATCGATATTGAAAATGTTACTGGTTACACAAGGAATCGTTATGAGTTCGATAATGTCGTTTAATAGTACAGGGTCATAGGCAACACACCTGAGTCTCTGACCTGAGCCGAATTATGTGACCAGGGGAAGCGACTGTGCTATTTCAAAACTATAATTCAGTGATACCAAAGTCGTTTCCCTTTGACTTATGCCGGCCTCTCTCTCGCACACACACTCTCTCTCTCTCTCTCTCTCTCTCTCTCTCTCTCTCTCTCTCTCTCTCTC